TGCAGTGTCCCAAGATGGAGGTGACCAGAGGAGCCCCATGGTGGTGGATGGGGGTCCACATGTGAGTGGGTACGCGGCCAGGAGTCCAGCGCGGGTGCTGAAGCCGCTGGTCTTCCTCGGGCACCTGGAGGACCAGCATGGGTGAGCAGCCGGGGTCCTGCACTGACCTGAGGGCTGGAGACCTGCACGGCAGGCGGCTGTGGTTCCTGCAGGGGAGCAGCTGTCAAGGGTCCTCTGATCACTCGCAGAGAAACAGTATCCCCACGATTGGAATCCCAGGTCCTGGAGCGACACAGGATGCTCCCTCCCTCTAGCCGCCATCTTGGATGCCCCAGAAAGTCACCTTTTGCACTAGATTGTTGGTTGTTATTTGTTGTTGTTGTTGTTGTTGTTAGATCTTTATTTTTCTATGTATTATACTCGGTACTGATAAATGAACCCAGGGCCTCACACGAGCCAGGCAAATGCACTACTGCTGAGCCCAGCCCCCTGGTTGTGTTAGTTCTTTAATCTCCTTATCCCAGTTAGCAGGAAAAATTGAATACAGATAAAGCAGAAGGGTTGAAAATGTTGGAGCATATTATTATTACTCAATCGTAAACAGCGGGAAAACCTCTGGAAATAAAACCAATCTTCTGTGTTCTAGAAACCACTGGTCAGCCTACTTGGCTGTTTTAAGAATCCCAAAGCCAAGAGCACTCACGCATGCTTGGTAATTCTTGTTTAAAAGCACAATTCAAGAAATGTCCAGTGTACACTGTGTCTGTGCAGTCCTTACATTAATAACTTCCCTTACTGCAAAAGCAACTTCTATTTTTAATCAAATGTTGAGGTTGCATGTTTGATTGGCCTGACTTAGGAGCTTAGTGGGCTCACAGTGGGGAACGGCTTGGAGCATATTAACAGAGATGTATCACACTGGCAGATCCACCAAGTATTTTTAGTGCTGAAGTTGAGGTAGATGTGTTGGATCTGCTGTTTTTCCCTGAAAAGCTTGTCTGCCTTGTCAATGGAGCAGCTGTGACTGGGGATGTTTTGTAGTGAGCTCATCAATTAATCATTTTAAGTTCAGTGCATGCCACAGTAACCTTTTTGATCAGTTTTCTCTTTCTTTCTTTCTTTTTTTTTTTTTTGGAGAGGAAAATGTAAAGTGGTTTTGGTAAAAATAAAATGGCTAAGTAGCTCCCTGAAGTTGATTTTTATGAATGCCACTCTCTGATTTTAATTCATCACAGTTTTCCAAGTCCCACGAGAAGGTTGAAAAGGCCCTCAGTGCCGGGGACCCCTCCAAAGGTGGCTACGTCTCTCTGAATTACCTAAAGGTCGTCCTTGACACCTTTGTGTACTGGTTACCAAGAAGAATTTTCCTCCAGCTAATGAAAAGGTAAGAGTTCTGTTGTTTCCTTGACAGTTTCTTCCCCCAGACGTCAACTGTGAGAATAAGGAAGAGCTTCATTTATTTTTTATTAGTGTTTTAGGCTTTTTATTATTGAAAATTTCAGACACATACACAAGTAAAGAGAATAATGTAAGGAATCCACCCGCAGACCCATCCCCAGCTTCGACAGTTACTGGGTCCTGGCCTGTCACTTCACTGTGTCCCTGCTTATGGTCTCCAGTCTCAGATGTTTCTGAAGCAAACATCAGATATCATATTTCCATATGTGACTCGAAAGATATGAGTTCTTTGTAAAACCAGGGCAGAATCCTACTCTCATATCCAGTGGAATCAGCACTGCTCTCATAAACCCCGGGTTCAGTGTGACCGCCTGTCCTGTGCTCGTTCCTACAGCTCATGCCAGCCCATTGCCACTGGCCCATCCACCACAGTCCTCTTGTAACCTCTAGGCCTCCTCTCCGGTCATTTTAGAAGTCATCTGGATTGTTCATAATCTGGGTGTAAGGAAATGGGTTGACTATTGCAACCCATGGTGACGTTTCATGCGCTCCTGTCCCTTTCCCCCAATACCTGCCCTGAGGCTGTCCAGCTGCAGCCCACGTCTGCGTTTGTGCTTTCTGCCTTGGGCAGGAATACCTTGGAGCTGATGGCAAGCTGGTATTGACTGATTGTTTCTTTCTGTAATACCAGCAGCTGTTTTGGTTGAGACATGTCCTCCAAAAGCTCATGTGCGAGACAGCACCAGAATTTTCACAGGTGAATTGGTTTTGTGAGCCTTAACCTGATTAGTGGGTTAATCCACGGATACAGATTAAGAAGGCAGTAACGGTGGGCAGGTGGGGTGTGGCTGGAGGAGGTGGGTCACCAGAGGGTGCCTCTGGGGTTTATGTTTTGTCCCCGTTGCCGTGTCCTGAGCTGATTTTCTTCTGCCATGATGCTTTGCCTCACCTTGGGCCCAGAGCAATGGAGTCGTCTGTCTGTGGACGGAGTCGTCTGTCTGTGGACGGAGTCGTCTGTCTGTGGACGGAGACGTCTGAAACTGTGAACCAAATAAACTTTCCTCCTCTAGGTTGTTCTTCTCAGGTCTTTTGAAATGAAAAACTGACTGAAATAGCAGCCACTGTCGGTGGTCCATCTTACCTGGGACCACAGCAGTTGTACCTAGTGACTGCGAAGTGGAATTGTTCTGTGTCTGTCGTTTCTTCCTCTGTCATTAGTTGAAACACTTCTGTGATGAAATCGTCTCTTCTCCAACCACGTGACAACCACCAAGCACAGTTGGCATGACAAGGGCAGCTGTCCTTGGTCCTGACCTTCAGTGGCTGCTTTTTAGCATCATGGCTGGCTCCCAGCGTCCTCTGGAATGAGCAGCGGGTACTGATTCATAATGATCATCATGAGACCATGAATTTGAGCACATTGGTGGGTTTCAATTCATCACAAGTCATCCTCACCGGTACTCGGTGGCCCTGTCTTTGCAGGGGGCGCTTTTTCATGTTGGTTTCTGAGTCCTGATGATGGACCCTAATGGTCTTGGATAGCTCTCTTGCTTTCTGGAGAGACAGCGATGCTCCAGGTTCTCTTGTACGTCTCTTGCTGTACACCTGGAATCAGCCATTTTCCAAGGGTCCCTGGTTCCTTTCAGTTGGTAGTCAAATGTTGAGCTTGTGTGTTTGATTGGCCTGACCCAAGTCCACGTGGGGAATACTCCAGTTTACCTGGTTGTCTGTCCAGGGAGACAGGGAACCTTCTCTCAGGGGAAGTAGGGCAGAAGCTAATGGAAAGCTTGTCCTGTGTAGCCCTGGGCAAGGGTGGATTCCTTGGGGTTACCTAGGAAAGAAGGCCTGTGGGCAGGGGAGGAAAACAGCATTAAGCAGGCAGCGGGTCCACTCTGAGAACACTGGGCCTCTGGGATGGCACCCTGCGTGTCCAACACTGTGACTTCTAGAGCGAAAAGCACAGTTCAGTTTTAGGATTAAACATTCCCATGTCCAGTTAGCAAATGAAGATTTTCAAAAATTACTCTCTTGGATAGCTAAAAGTCATAAAGATGTTTCTTCTTATTTCATTTTCAATATGCAAATAATAATTTAATAGTAATAATAAAATTAAAAACAAAAACCATCCACCTTAATAGCAAACTATTTTGGTTATTCTGCATTTTCTTTCATCATTTTTTAACCATGTACATAAATAATTTCCACATATTTGTAATCAAGGTACGCTTACAGTTTTTACATTGTGCTTTTAAAATAAAAAACAGAAATTTTTAAAAAACAGACATTTTTCATATGGCTTTATGGTCTTCAGAGTTATAATTTTAATAGATATATAAAATTTCATTCATCTATCATTTACTGAGTCTATTTATGGTAGTTGCAAAAAACACAGAAATAAATGACAAACAGTTCTGCACCAGAGTGACTTACCAGAGTGACAGATATGATGGGTGTGGAGAGCAAGTACATGGGGCTCACAGTGGCCCTGCTGTTGCCCGTGGCCCTCCGAGTCCCTTTTTTGCATCTACCCAGAATTCCCAATGGAACCAGGCACAAGAAACAACTGCAGAGTGGACACCCAGGTGTCACTGTGAATTACGAACTGCTTGAGCATATGATCCAAAAATCCAAATTCTGAAATGCTCTAAAATCCAACACCTGTTGAGTGCTGACATGACAACGAGTCAAGTCAAGCACAGACGCACTGAGGATGTTGTAAAAGGCACGCAGGAGGCGTTCATGGACATTGTGTTAGACCTGGGTCCTCCCTAGTCTCTCATCGTGTATGTGTGCAAATGTTCCAGAATGTGAAACCCATGATCTGGAATCATTCTGGAGTCAAGCATTGCAGGTACCCTGTCCTCAACCTGACCATCTACCTGCCTCTTCGTGCACTTACTTGGCACCATGTCGTTGTCATTGGGGTCTCTAGGTGGTTTTTAGTTTTGCATGTTCTTGTTCAGTTGACCAGCACAATTCCTGAGTGCTCACTGTACACCAGGGAGTGTGCTGCACTCTGAGGCTCCGTGAGGAAT